CAAAAAAGTACTCCAGAGTGTTGTTCAGCATGGGGGTGAGTAGAAAATGAAGGCTAATCATGTTTTGGGTGTACTATTCCTTTAAGTTAGGCAACCAGGAACCACCTAACCATGCAGGACACTGCTTCTAGAGGACAAGGGTTGGAAGCTAGTGAAACAGCAGCTCTTTGATTGAACTTAATCTCTAGAATCAATACATTAAAATTATTCTTATAAAAGGTTCATTCACTGAATCATTCATTTCATGCAACTTCAGTTATGGTTTTTACTGATGAAATGGGCAATGATTATGACTTTGGCCAGAGAGGGTGCTATTAAAAGATACTTTTAGCGATGCGAGAAGTACTTTTGAGGTAATTACAGCAAAGCTACACCTGCCATGGATGCACATGCATCTGTAGCTGAAGTTGAAAAATCGTAACCTTCCTCTCGATTTGCTTTGCCACAACCAGCTAAGGGGCTGAATGTTGCTGTGGCACAGGGTGAAGGAGCGTAGGAGACAACAAGCTTTTTTTTAAAATTTTTTTCCAGTTAAGCCATTCATTGACAATCATGAGACCATTATTTGTTTACATCACTCTTACTTGTCAAAAGAACCCCAAATTCTAGATTACATCAGCAATAAAACCAACAAAAACTATTGCATAAATCCTCATATATCTACTCCAGATCATGTCCATCCGGTCCCATTTATTTCCCCATTTAAACTAACCCTCTGAACCTGATCCATGCCAAGTTCGGACCGAGTTTGGATCGGTTATCCATGCTGAACTTGGTTCTTATGACCATTTACACATCATGCTAGCATGGTTCCTCGCCTCTCAGAATTATGCATCTCTCTGGAATTATGCAAACAAAAAAGGACGGTGCCCATAACATTCAGGAACTTATGAGCCTGGATAGCGTTCTCCGCCCAAGTTTCAAGAGAGCCTCAGCCTCGGCATCATCCCAGGTGGCACCACACTGTTTTGATGCAATTTATTGTTAAAAGGCTAAGAAGAAGTTCATGTTGTGAACAAGTGAAGAGATCTGTGAATTCAAAGCTGGACATGCCAGAAAACCCACAAAATGAGTTGTTAATAGGCGTTGACGTGGTCTACTCATGCCCTCATTGTTATCATAGAACTGTACCACAATTAAACCATGCCTAGCCCTACTGTCGAACTAGTATTAGATTTAGCACAATTTTGTTTCGTTTGGCAAGGTCCATTATAGTTGCATTCCATTTACACTCAACAGTTATCTCTGTTACTGTGTTTGGACCGTTATCGGTATGCTTTCAAAGTGTAAATGTTGCTTAAAACACAGCCTGACAGCGTTTACGAATTGGCATCAGTTTCATACACTGGAAAAATAAGGGAATCATTTTCACAAAACACTGCTCTCAGTTCTGTACTCCTGTTAATGATTATTTGATCACCAAATTAGTTTAGGATTAATAATCTGGAATAATCTTGATTAATCTAATTGAATGTTTCATACCCTGCAACAGACTACATTGAAACTTAATGATCTTCAGCTTTTGCCAGCTCAATTACCTGTGGTGGGTAAGAATTTAAATAGTTTCGGTTGCATCAGCTGCTATGTCTGGTTCATTAGCTGATGTTTGCTTCTTATGTCAGAGATAGGATCAGTAATAAATCCTTCTGCGTTATCTGGTTTAAGAAAATCAGACTTTCATAAGATGACAGACAATATAGTCCTAGTGATCAGACAGGTTCCTGCAAAATATTAGGCAGAACATCTCATGTATAAAAGCTTAGCAACAGCGATTAACCTATGTATGAGATTTAGTTACCTGGTGTAGAGCAGAGTGTGTGTTGTCAAATATCCCCCATTGTGGGGACCTACAGGTCCAAAGTGGTCCAAACGGGGACATTCAACAGGTCCCCAAATGGTAAAGTTTTCTTCTTTGAATTGGGGTTAGGTTAGGGTTAGTAATATGTTGGTAATAGTTAGGGTAAGGGTTTGGCTTAGGCTATATGATTTGAATGTATGTCAATGAAATGTCCCCGAAAGTCATGCAAACAAAGGCTGGGTGGGTGTTTGTGTGTGAGGTTGGTTGGTTGACTACAGATATGTCCACCATATTAACTTTTTAAAATTTAAATTGGCGGCTTTTTTTTTCTTTAGTAGGGGAATTGCAATATTGCACAAAGGAGAGTGATAATTCATAAAACAATAAGCCATGAAATGTATTAGGAAAAACAAAGTAAAATCAGGTTTTCTGGCCTTTTTTGGGGTGAATGGATAAATATTTTCCCCAGTTTATCTTGAAGTGAGTTCAGAGGGAGGCCCAGGGTGTGTGCTGACCTGAAATAATTTAGTGTGGCCCCCGAATAGGGCTGGAAAATTCATAATCACAATTTTAGAAATTGCACTTTTCCAAATCATTACATTAAACAAATCACATTTAAAGAGCATTGCATACCTTCTTTCTCTTTCCATCTCGCAGTAATACACTTAAAGTAGATCAATTGCTACACAGAATGAGTAAGGAGGAACATTAGAGCTAGTGCTCTGATCCCCGTATGCAAGCTGGAAGTAAACTACTGATGTCCTGATACAACTTTTTAGTATCCAATACAATACCAGTATTGCAAGTTTAATCATTTACTGATAATGATGGGATACAATATTAGCATCAATCATATATACTTCTCTTAATTATTTTGTAGTGTGGAATGCTAGAAATGGCTTCATCAGGTGATTATTTCTCAAACATAGAACACTACTCAACATCTCGTATGAGAGCAACTGACCAATCTATTATTCACCAAAGGGTTAAATGAACTTTAAAAAAGCAGATAGAAGCCAAGTGTTTTTTGAGCTTTCCAATATCATTAATCATACATTTTTTGGCTGATATCAGATTTTTTTTATCATTTTCAGGATAAGATTTAAAATGAGAAACATTTTCTGAAATGGAAAATTTAGGTTGCATCAAAAAGTTATTTTTCTTTTAGCCACATTGTACTTCCAGCTCATTTTTTATTTATTCACAGAGCTGGGTATGAGTGAGTCTTCATTACATCTGACTACTGTAAATACAGCAAGCAGTAGGGCTCTTGCTGTTAATCAACAAATTAATTACCAACAAAATGGAAAAAGATGGTTAAATTATTGTCTCATAAATTGTTAAATGGAATTAAATATCAGCTGTTTTAAGTCCTGTTTTTGGTATTGAGCCTTTTTGATTAGACTAGAAACTAGACTTTGCAAGTGTAGTTTGATCTCAGGTCATTGTGATTTTAGATATGCAAAATCTTTTAGCGTGATCTCAGCCATTTTTTGGCAGCCATGCTTGTTTTCCTTAACTCTGAGGTCCCTGATGGTTTGTTTATTATCTCAGCTGAACGCCCTCTTTGAGCTGCTCTAATAGTAATGTTTGCTGCTTACAGACAGTTTTTAACCTTACATTCCTGATGGGGCTCTTTTTGCTCACGTGTGTGTGTGTGTTGCAATGTCTTAGAGGGTAATAATTGGATCTGTCTGTAGACTTTCCTGTTTTTAAGCTTTTAATGTTGAGGTAGAGTAAAAACACAGGTTTGAGCTGAAGTTCCTGCTGCTTTGCTAACCAGATTCTTCGCCCGTCTGTCACCACAGGAAGAGCAATGAGCCTTTATGTTTTCCAAACAGCTCCGCTTTTTATTACAGCAACAAATCTACAGAACAGTGACTTTACTAAAACTATAGCTGCAGATGGGCTGATATTTAGGCGGTTACAATTTGTTTTGGTCTGTGTCTAAATGCATTTAGTGAGAAGAAGGCTTGGAGCCCATAACCACATATAGGATTCTGTACATATAAACAGACCTTTACTGTTGCATGACTGAGCTGTAAGGATTTAATCTGTAACAGACACGAGATCAAACATTAGATGGATCCAGGAAATGTATGGCAACATTTTTAGCAATGAAAGGACTCTTTTTATGTAAACAGCTGAATGCAGAGTTGAAAGAGGTGACCCTTTTATTGCATATAAAATCATTGTTTTTTTGTGTTTCTGCAGGCTTGTCCAGCTTTGATGCAAATGGGGCGAAGTACTATGATCGTATAACTGGAGCTTGATAGTGGGGACTACTGTGAACTTCAGGCTCCCGATATAGGATCACAATCTGCTGAATGAATATGAAAAAATAAAGAAAGTTGTTACCTAAAGACAGGCCAACGCTGCGGTTTCATTCATTTGGTTTGATTTAATTTCCCTTCTTACAGCCCTGTCCTCACTACCTCCCAACCTTGACCTCCTCTGCTGTGCAGTTAAAAGCAGCGGGGACTCATTCCTCTCCGCAGGCCTGGGGCCCTCCCATCGGTGGCCCACTCTGGCCATTTGTTGGCGTCTGATGGCGCGGTGGGGTGCTAAGGGCTGCTGTGGGAGACTGTGATGTCAGAGCCCAACAGCCCGGGTGAGAGCCAGCGTGGCGCTCCCAGATTCTTCGTGGGCTGCGAGGACGATGAGAGCGAGGTGCAGGAGGATAGCATGAGGACAGACATGGAGCCATATGAGGACGACGAAGACACAGATTCGGTGAGGGACTGTTTCTGCTCGTATGGTAAAGCCCCATTACTTGTTAGTTCTGCTTTTCTCTTTTTAGCTGGAAGCAGAAGAACCTAACATTCATTATTAATAATGATCAGCTCATGACTTCCAATGGCAATTCAAACATGTTTTGGTGCTTTGTTTTTTGCTTTGTATCCAAATGTTAGCTAAATGTTCAACAAGAAAAAATATTTCAGAAACTGTTAAACCTGAATTTGGCGGCTCATGGCTGAGAAAATGAAAAGCTGCGAGAAAAAAGTTTTAAAGTATCTAAATTATTTTTTTATTTAATCGTCTGACTTTAGGATTTATGATGTAAAACAACAACAAAACAACAAACAACAACCATGCAGAAGACTTCTACAACACATCTACTTTCATTTCATACTTTACATGAAGCAAATTTAACATTAAACGTTAAGCTTTACCCACATTGGTTTAACTTCCTAAATCCTCACTGACAACCGGACAGATTCTTTGTGCTACATGTTAAAATATCAGTGTTCTGTTTTTTTTGGGCTCTGTCTATTATCTGGGAAAAAAAGTTAACATGCATTAGTCCCCAGACCTGTGGTCTAAGGTGTCTTATTTACATCAAATCTTATTGACCTTCCAAAGGTCGTCAAAACAACCACTGCCGACGCATTTTGGCTGGAAGCAGAAGAACCTAACATTCATTATTAATAATAATCGGCTCCTGACCTTCCAGTGACAATACAAACATGTTTTGGTGCTTTGTTTTTTGCTTTGTATCCAAATGTTAGCTAAATGTTAAACAAGAAAAAATATTTCAGAAACTGTTAAACCTGAATTTTGGCGATCATGGCTGAGAAAATGAAAAGCTGCAAGAAAAAAGTTTTTAAGTATCTAAATAAATTTTTTTATTTAATCGTTTGACTTTAGGATTTATGCTGTAAAACAACCATGCAGAAGATTCTTTGTGCTATATGATCAAATATCAGTGTTCTGTTTTTTGTGCTCCATTATCTGGAAAAAAGTTAACATGCATTAGTCCCCAGACCTGTTGTCTAAGGTGTCTTATTTACATCAAATCTTATTGACCTTTCAAAGGTCGTCTAAACAACAACTGCCGACGCTTTAAACTTTGCTTATATTTGAGAGCACTAGTATTTTTGCATTTAAAACACGTTTTTAGGTTTCCACGGGTGTTCTAAACCCTTTTCTTTACAAACTAAGATTTTAACATTTCAGCTGTACTGTGATCTTATAAAACTAGTGTCATTTATAAATAAATATTGAAAACAGCAGGTCAGGCATTTAAAGATCGGACACTGACCAGAGAATTAGAATCAATCTATACTGCTATTTAGGAAGCCTAATAGATTTGGTTTTTATGTCGTCTGTTGAACTGATCTGTTTAATCTTGTGTCTTTTGTTCAGCCCCCAGAGCGACAGATCGTGGTGGGGATCTGTTGCATGATGAAGAAGTCCAAGTCCAAGCCAATGACCCAGATTCTGGAGAGGCTGTGTAGGTTTGAATACATCACTGTAGTCATCTTTCCTGAGGATGTCATCCTCAACGAGCCAGTGGACAAATGGCCTCTCTGTGACTGCCTCATCTCCTTCCACTCCAAAGGTACAGCACCCCCTGTCCCAGAGGGACAACATGCACTGTGTGCTTTTTATGGAACAATCCAAAGTTACATACTCGGGGGGCTAAATTAGTCTCCACAAGTTCCGAGGTTATTGATTACAGTGGATAATTATCTGCTGTCCATTGAAGTCCAGAATAATAGTTTTATATTATGCAATAAGAGTTTGAAATGTGATTTTTAATTCACTTTTTTGGACGCATTTGTTGTCCAGGATTCCCTCTGGATAAGGCAGTGAGCTATGCCAAACTGAGAAACCCTCTACACATCAATGACCTGAACATGCAGTACTACATTCAGGACAGGTGCATTTTCTTTACTAAGAATATCTGTTTTCAGGTTAAACCCAATCCAGCTTCTGCAAGTCATGGTCTATTTGCTGATGGTACTTTTTTATTTTGCTCTTTTGCAGAAGAGAAGTGTACCGTATCCTGCAGGAGGAGGGGATTGAACTGCCTCGCTATGCTGTGTTGAACCGTGACCCAGATAAACCAGATGGTCTGTCCCTTATTCATGCTTGAACTGCACTGCACTAAACTTAATGTATAATTTTATTAGGCTCCACTGAGTATCACCTATTCAACTGGTTTTATGTCAGCTGTGAGATAAATATAGCATTGAATGTTCTGCTAGGGAGAGTTTCCCTCATTAAGTTTTGCGACATAAGTTCTGGCACTCTGATCCTGTTTTTACTCAGAGGCACAAAGATGTTCCCCTGAGGAAAGAGCAATCGGATGTTTTACATGTCCTCCATGACTGTTTCTAAAAGGATCAACAAAAGTCACATGATTTAGAATCGACCTCAAGAGTAAACACTGCAGGGTCAAGATTCATTTTTCTATGCTATTGGTGGGTAATGACAGGGAGCCAGCTGCCTAAACTGCAACATTTGCTGTGTGTTTGTCTCAGAGTGTAACCTGGTTGAAGGAGAGGACCATGTGGAGGTGAATGGGGAGATCTTCCAGAAACCTTTTGTGGAGAAGCCTGTTTGTGCTGAAGACCACAATGTGTACATCTATTACCCAACATCTGCAGGTGGTGGCAGCCAGAGACTCTTCAGAAAGGTCCTGACCGCTGCCTTTATTCCTTGTTTTTTAATTCAGATTATTGCTGCTGATGTAAAGGCAGAAAATCTCCAAGCCCCTTAAAGAGTTAAGAAGTCACAGCTCTTGCTAACTTTCAGTGCCTTTATTTAGTAAGCATAAAGTATTTTGCTGTGTTAGCGGTGGGATTACTGTAAAACATAGGTTCCCAAAGTTTTTGCATGGAGTAAAAAAATAAACCTTGTATTATAAGCTGTCCAATTATGTAAATGGTGTGTTGCAGGTGTAATTTCCCTGCATGCAGGGAAGCAAGCAACCATATTATAATTGCTCTGTTATTACTACTCCTCTTCCCCAAGTCAATCAACCTGAATCATCTATAGGTGGCTCCGTCAGTTAGACATTGTGTTGTGTATTGTCGCTTTATTTCTAAACTTGGCGAATAAGTAACTTTAGAGAATTAAATCAATCTTTAGATGATTCTACATCAAAGAGTAGAGGTGACACCCATTGTTACCAGAAAATAAATAAATATCCCAAACCCTCTGATGAAAACCCTCCCAATACTTTAACCTTTAAGGTCATGGAAGCAGTCATATGTTTTCCTCAGATTAAGCTCGAAAGATTAAAGAAAACTTTTTTTGAAATAAAAAAAAAGGGTTTATGGATTAAGTTTCTTTACTGGGCAATTCTTGAGTATGGCAACAAATATCTCTTTCAATTAAACTGCATCTTATGATTAAAGCATCATCAGTTTTGTTCCTTATTTGTAATTTAAATAAAATAGCGTAGAGAGATTTATCACGCAAAAACCTGCCAAATGGGCTCCATCTAAGCTTAGTACAATCAACCCTATGCACCTTTAGCAATCAAATGGGTTTAAGATTATAGGAGGCACAGAATGGCTTTCTAAGTTAAGATTAATTTTTGTAACGGTACATTTTTTTTTACATTTTGCATAGGAGTTGTGCAAGACTACAAGTAAAAACGAGGAGATTGGAGGGAAGTTCAGAAAATAGATAACCAGTACTCTGTATTCTGGGTTTTTGGCTTTGCTGTTGTCAAAACATTATAGATATGCTAAATATAGATACAAAATATATATACGTCAATGCTTTTATTTCGGTGTGCTGCTTGTGGAGCTCTATGCACAATATTCTTCTCTATATTCAAAGAACTAGGAAAAATTAGCTGTAATGTTCCATCTTTGGGTTTCCTACATGGCTTCCTAGTTTTTCTGTTAGATCTTATTTCTGCATAGTCTAGTGGCATTGTGGCCATTATCGAATCAATTCTTTTGCAAAATTCAAAATAAGAGCCTAGTTTTTTTGTTTTCTCTGACCTTTTGCCTTTGTCTAGGATATTCTTAGCTTTTGAAATTGAATGCAGTTTTTTTTTTATGTAAATGCAGCAGTTTAATCCACTTCTAGGGTCATAAAATATTTCCACAGTGTTGAATGAGGTTTACTGAAGAGTGGCTGATTTTAACCTTCATTTTGTGCAGATCGGGAGCCGGAGCAGCGTATACTCTCCAGAGAGCAGTGTGAGGAAGACGGGCTCCTACATCTATGAAGAGTTCATGCCAACTGATGGCACTGATGTCAAGGTAAAGAGTGAAGTAATGGAACAGTAAAACACATCGAGAGACCTTAGAGAATTAGTTAATGTTTTTGTCAGTTATTGTTTTTCTAAAGTCCTAAGCTCAGTGTTTAAGTCTCCTCTTTTATGTCTGTGTTTTATGTAAACACAGATTACTCACACTCGTACCATGAGATTTTGTTACACACCGACTGCTAATCCATTTAATCATTTATGAACAAACAGAAGTAGTCTTAAAATGAGCGAAAAAATGCAGCCAGTCCAAAGAAGCTGTCAGTAGTTGAGCTGCAGGATAGCAGACGTATTGCAGACGACAGAGCAGAGACTGGCTCTGCAGTGGATTGCTCACATTTAAGGTCATTGATAATGGGCCACAACCTGCCATCTGCTCTGTGTTAGTAACCAGGCTCCTAATGCTGAGGTCAGAACTCTGCACTCATTGTTCACATGCATTGATATGTTGCTTTTAAAGATGTATGTTGTTTTTTTTGTTGTTTGTTTTTTAGCGGAAGATAATTATACGACATTCAAATTTGTATTTTTTTATCTGAAAGTCAGTCAACAGAAAAGGGGTTGAGACAGATTGAGGAGGACAAATATTGGCAAATCTTACTAGACCAACTCAAACTCTTTGAAGAAAAAGGCCTCTGTAAATATGCTGATGAAGGTTCTCAGTCATCCAGGTCAAAATCATTCCGTAAAAATATCCACTGGACTTGGTTTTCAAGATTTGAAGACGTTTCGCCACCTCTTCAGGAAGCTTTCTCAATTTGTAAATAAGCCTCTGTAAATATGTCTTACATATTCTTACACCACCATCACACCCTTATTTGGTTTATTTCTCAACAACACTTGTCTGCACAGTGTGATCCGATTCTCAAGGATTTCAGCTAATGTATTAGTTAGTTAAAGGGGACGCCAACTTTAAATCACCATGGACTCAGTTGTCAACCAAGAGAAAAGCTTCTGTCCTTAAATTAACACCTTCAAGCTGGACTGAAATAACAGCAGTTTATGTGGAGAAGGTACATTTCCTCTGGAAAAAAGGTTTTATGGTCAGGTATGAATTTAGAACAATAGAAGAAGGCTGGAGGATTCAAGGTGAGAGATGGAACACTGTAGCATCTGTTTAGCATGGTGGTAGCGGCAGTATAATGCTGTGGACTGCACTGCAGAAACATTTGATTCTTCAACTTCATCTTCAATTAATGACTAGATGTTTATAACTTGAACAAGTTTGGGTTTTCCAAAAAGAGAAACATTCCAGACTAAGCCAAAGTGGATGTAGTCGGCTACATTAGCCTTTGGAATTGCCTCCCCATTAGACCATATAAGGGCTGAATCTCTCTGGGTACTCCAACTTCTGTTGGGTTGATGAATATCTCATATTTTTCCTTATGTGTAATTGTTTGTGCTGATGATTGTGTCTCTGTGCAATGAACCTATCCAGGGTGCACCCTGTCTTTTACACACTGACAGCTGGAGCACCAGCCCCCTGTGACCCTAATGGACAAGCAGTAGAAAATAGATGGGTAGACAGAAAGATAGAATATGGTGGAAGCCCTAATTGTCTCCATTTATTTTTTCAAGAAAACTTTGCAGTTTGTTTCTTCTAACCCTGGTGATTAAATGCACAATATCAAACTTTTAACTAAAAGTCCAAACTTATTCTGATGTGTAAATTTAGCTTTACATATGTGCGTAGGGTTCACATTAATACTAATTCACAGGAACTACTTTCAAAAGGGATTTGGGGGAATCTGGTTTTCTGCTACTATAAAACTTGAAAACTCTCAGGTCCTTTTGTTACCTTTAAATGCTTTGAGACTTATCACCTGACAGTAAGATACGAACTACTCTGAAACTCCATACAGAACCCTGCCTCTTTAAAAAAAAATAAAAAAACTCTCCCTTAAAAGTTTATGTTTTTATTTGAATGAGTTTTGTAGCAGATGAACTAGTGTAAGTTTACCTCAAGCATTGAAATTAACTGCTGGGGTTTGGGTTTCTATTGGACTTCAGGTCTACACCGTTGGGCCGGACTATGCTCATGCTGAGGCCCGGAAGTCTCCCGCTCTGGACGGGAAGGTGGAGAGAGACAGCGAGGGAAAGGAGGTCCGTTACCCTGTCATGCTCTCTGCCATGGAGAAACTGGTGGCCAGAAAAGTCTGCTTGGCATTCAAGGTATGTTTTTTGTTTTTTTTGTTGAAGATGGTTCTGTCATATCTGTGGTGTAAATGTTTTCTCATGTTGGATTATACCACAGCAAACTGTGTGTGGCTTCGACCTTCTCCGAGCTAACGGACACTCCTACGTTTGTGACGTAAACGGTTTCAGCTTCGTCAAGAACTCGATGAAATACTACGACGACTGTGCCAAGATCCTTGGGTACCAACTTTACCTTTTCACCTGCAATTATCTACTTTTTCTTAAGGTCCACTTAATTATTTCTGTTCTTCATGTGTTGATTAAACCTTTCAGAAACATTGTGATGCGAGAGCTGGCCCCGCAGTTTCAGATTCCTTGGTCAATTCCAACCGAGGCAGAGGACATTCCGATTGTTCCCACCACTTCAGGGACCATGTAAGCTGTTACCATGTCATCAACTGTTTATTAATGCACTTATCATCTAGAAGGTATTAATGTATTCACTTTGAAACTCATCAGGATGGAGCTACGCTGTGTCATCGCTGTCATCCGTCATGGAGACAGAACTCCCAAACAGAAGATGAAGATGGAAGTCCGCAACCCCATGTGAGTTTCCTCTTTAGCCCTCTGCCTGTTCACTTTACACCTCATTAAAACCTCTCTATTGTTTCCCTGTTTTCACACAGGTTCTTTGATCTGTTTGAAAAATACGAAGGATACAAAACAGGGAAGTTGAAACTCAAAAAGCCTAAACAGCTGCAGGTAAAATGATCCATTCTGACATGGGTAAATCACTACTGAAGAAGCTGCTGGTAGCTCTTCTTACAGCTTTTTACTGTGATTGTTAACAGGAGGTGCTGGACATCACCCGAATGCTGTTGATAGAACTGGGTCAGCACAATGACTGTGAGATTGAAGAGAAGAAGTGCAAACTAGAGCAGCTGAAGACGGTTTTAGAAATGTAGGTGAAACAAGTCTGATTATTAACCTCCTTTCTTTAGAGACCCACTGAAGTGTGAAACTTTTATTAAGTCTTTAGAAGTACAAGCTCTGCCACAGCCAATGATAAATTCACTATTTAAGGTCAGACTGTTGGAGGTGGCTGTTCATGTTCTGGTGCTCCTTTAGCTTCCATAAAAGCTTGTAGCTGCGTTTTTACATTGTTTATAAAAGAAACGCCAAGAAAAGAGTTGAGGCAGACCTATGAGATCACAGCTTTGGTCTGTTGTGATTAAAAAAGAATCCGTTTTTTTCCAGAGTCACTTTTCCTCTGATAAAGCTGTATTGTGTTCAGTAACAGAGTGTAAACATATATAAAACTGATAGGCCCTATGTTTGTTAGATAAAGGCTTTTCTGGAACGCATAAGGCTGTTCTCAGATTGCTGTATCAAATTATATTATTGGAAGGGTGAGCATAAGGAAACATCTTTAAGGGCTACAAAGCAGGTGCATTACAAAAAGAAATGGCTCTTGCTCAGTGATCTGAGGTCCTCTTTCAAATCAAAAACTGTGGACTTTTATTTCATTTATTACCGACAAAGAGACATGAAAAGCGTCAATGCACAGGAGGTAAAGAACGCTATTTTGGCTACCTGTTAGTTGTTTTTTATTTATACCTCAGTATAGCAAAAGGCTGACAACCTCCATGCCTCGCATCAATGCAGTAAATCATACAACAGGAGTCCCAACCAAATCCAGAATTAGAATTATAATTCAAATAATTTATTTTGGACTGTTTTAATATCACTATTTTTTATTTACTATAAGCTTTTTGCCTGAAAAAGAACAAAAATAACCCAATTTATCACCATGTGGGTAATATTCTGTGAAATTATTTTCTTTAAAGGCGAACTGTGGTCTGTCTGCATGGAGTTTGCGTATTCTCGCTGTCCATGTGTGGGTACTCCGTCTTCCTCCCACAGTCCAAAAAAATGACTGTTAGGTCAATTGGCTTCTCTGAATTCTCCTTAGGTGTGAGTGTGTGTGTGAATGGTTGCTTGTCCTGTTTGTCTCTGTGTTGCCCTGCGATGGACAGGCAACCTGTCCAGGGTGGACCCCCCTCTCGCCCGTAGACAGCTGGAGATAGACACCAGCATCCCTCGCGACCCCACTTGGGATAAAGCATGATGAAAAGATATAATTGTGTCAAATTTAGAAACACCTAACTGAAAACGCACCTTTACAAAAATTAATCATGGAGATATTTTAGATAAATTAAGAAATGTTGCTTGATTGAAGACATATTGTAGTTCTGTGTTTATTTATAAAACTTTGGATGTGGTCTTATATTTATTTCCTTTTCTGGTATAAAAGGTACGGTCACTTTTCTGGGATCAACAGAAAGGTTCAGTTGACCTACCTGCCCCATGGGCAGCCGAAGACATCAAGTGAAGAGGAAGGTTGGGATATTTTATTATTAATTATTTTTTAAGGTCATTTGTTAGAACGTCATGTTTATTCTAGATTCGGTGTCTTATTTTCCCCCCTTCCATCTGTTTAAGATACGCGTAAGGAAGGTCCATCTCTGCTGCTGGTGCTGAAGTGGGGAGGGGAGCTGACTCCTGCTGGCAGAGTACAAGCTGAGGAGCTTGGGAGAGCCTTTCGCTGCATGTACCCTGGGGGACAAGGTTAGAAGGATATTGCTGTCTAGTACTGGTGAAAAAGTAATTACTCTGAATATCCTAGTTGGAGTATAAAGTGTTGATATGAAACTGGTAATGGAGAGGAAAAATGGGAGTTTTTGAGGTGTTGACTCACAGCCCAATTTTAGAGTTGAGGTCATAAAACCATAAACAGTCAAACCACAGCAATCAGCCCGAGAGTTAGCAGAAACGGTTTCATATCAGATCAAAACAAGAGGCGGGCAGAGAGGGATAAGGCAGACGCAGGCTGTGCCCACACCACTAAATTAGAAGGATATAACACTGGTAAAAAAAATGTTTTTTTTTTTTTTTTTATAGATCATCTGAAACTTTCTTGAATCTAAAACACGTTTTCTAACTCTCTTCATTTGGCTAACTTGATCACCCTGTTAACTCCCTTTCTGAACCGGCCAATTAAGATGAGGTAATTTATTAATATGAGGAGGCATATTTGAGGCAGGAAAATTAAAAAGGCTCCTTTCCTTGAATCTTTGCTGCTTGTGTTTCTTAAGTCAGAGGTGCTTCATTCTTTGATTTACACAATAAATCAGAGAATAAATCATGTTCCTGTACAATAAATGGAAATTATAATTCTGTACATTCCTTCCCATTAAAAACAAATCTCAGTTCTTTCTGTGAAAGACCAAATCACATTTTGCATATTATGTAGTAGAACAGGATTCTCTCCAATGCATTTCAGAGTGAACTTCTCAAAACGGCGCTGAAACTGGGCCATTATACTAAATTTATGTATGTAACAGCTGCAGAAATGTTTTTTTTAAACCCTTTTACCTCCTTAGTTGTATATATTTGGGAGAAAACTGTCTGTTTGAGGAAGTTTAGTCAACACTATGAACATTTTCCCATGTTGTTTTGACAATGACAGTCGTGCTTGCCCTATCAATGAAATTTATAGAGATATTAAAACACACACAGGACTACAGTAGGTTTATTAAGTAGTTACCTTCTGAAGGCAATGATATTATTTAGGGTTATAGTAATGCATACCACATTGTAAAGATTTATACTCCAATGGAATAAAAGAGCAAATTCTTTCCTTCCCATTATGCTCCCCAGTATATCCTGATAAAATACTCTTGGGAAAAAAAATGTGAAAAATACTCATGATGTTGGGACGTGTTTGCAAAGGAAACAGCAGCTCCTATGTTTATGCCACTATTGCTGTTCCACATGTGTTGACGTAGGAGACTACGCTGGATTTCCAGGGTGTGGGTTACTACGGTTACATAGCACTTACAGACATGACCTGAAGATCTACGCATCAGATGAAGGCAGAGTGCAGATGACGGCTGCCGCTTTTGCAAAGGTATTGGCTGCTGAGGCAGGAGTGTAAACAAAACTGCAAGTTAACAAATGTACAAGTTAAATGAAACCATTAATAAGGATCTAATTATGAAGGTATTTTTATTTCAAACAAAACTGTAAACTTATAAATCTGAATGGCCTATAAATTTAAATTGTACACATTAAATATGCTTTTTATATATTTTTAGAAACAGAATACTTAATTAGAGATAACAAATTGTGCTTTTAGTACCTGTAGTAGTCCTGTAATGACAAGTTTAAGTTTCACAGGTTCTGAAAAAGAGCTGATGTGAGATTCGTGTTTTTATAGCCCTTTAACCACACCACGGAATTAGAAATTGACATCAGCTGGTGTTGTTCCTTTTAAAGGGCAAACATCCAAAGAAGCATTTTTAAGGCTAATGTTTCCTGCTCAAATGTTAATAATCTAAGAGGAGTTAACAGTAATAAAACAGACGTCTTGTGTTTATGTTTGAGCAGGGCTTGCTTGCTCTGGAAGGAGAGCTGACCCCTATCCTGGTTCAGATGGTCAAGAGCGCCAATATGAACGGTCTGCTGGACAGCGACAGCGACTCGCTGAGCAGCTGCCAGCACCGCGTCAAAGCCCGGCTCCACGAAATCATGCAGAGGGACAGAGAGTTCAACGAGGAAGACTACGATCGGGTATTTAGGATTGAGGAATTTTACATTTAATCACACAAATAATTTCTTGTTTCATGTAATTTATTTGTAAAGATTCTCTCTTGATCTGTTAAATCTGATGATTTAGCCAGCGTAAGCCTGACATCCCAGAATCTCCTAAAATGCTGGCATAGACTGAACTTTCTATGTATTTTTTCAATTTTGGACATATGCATAGCGTATTGATAGCGAGCCCATAGCGTATGTCTAACAACAGCCTAACTTTATTCATAACGCACAGCAGCGTAATGCCCATGAAATAATGCACAAGCCAGTGTCCTGAGGGGGGCAGTGATGCACCCGGTCTACATAAAAATATTTATTGTTTGCGGTATTAACCTAGCTGCTGTTTACCGCCTGCCAAAAAAAAGAATAGCTAAATAAATAAAAAGAAACAACTTTGCAGTCTCTGCAGTTTCAGCATGATGTCTGCTAGGACGTTCGTGGCCGTAGGCATGAACGCACGGAGGATCTATCACACCCACCTTCACGCTTACCCTACAGAATCAAATTGATAAGATCATGCTGATGTTGGAGGACAGCTAGTATGTATTCCAGTCTCAGCCTTGCTCTTGTGGAACATCTGAAGTCTGGAGGAGAACTAAGGGTTTCCTCCTGTGAACCCCCATTCATGCCAAAACGCTGCCAATACGCCATCATACAGTAGCTGTAAGTTGGAAATGCATTCGGCGGTCGTCTGGAACACGTCAAATACATTGATATACATTTGAGATAAGTTCATGATAAGTTATGTATGAGTTGTGCACAAGTTACAGTACTCATAGGTTTTGTATAAGCTAGAAACCACATGCAAAACTTAAAAGTAACTTACATGTAACTTATGGTCCATGTATGAGTGTAAGCTGGCATGCTCAAAATTTTTCTCAATGTACTTGCTCATAACTTATATAAAACAGGGACTTTACCCTCATATGTCCATTTAAATCTTCCACCCTTACATGTGTCCTTCCTTAATTACACTCTACTTTTTTCTTTTTTCTATTGTTTCTTATTTTATTTCTGCTATCTTTTCTTCCCTTCTTGTGTGCTTTGTTCCTCCCTTACTTGTGTTTTTTCCATTTATACCTTTAATGTTTTAGATGTAAATGACTAAACTCTATAAAATGAATGTTTACATATAACCTCTATGTAGTTAGTGGGACTTTTTGATATTATTATTTTTAACTGTATCTGTGTATGGGCTTTTTTATTACAGCTGGCCCCAACCTGTGGTGCTTCATTGGTTAATTCCATGAAAATAGTGAAGAACCCGGTGGCCATATGTGACCAGGTCTACGCCCTCATTCAGAGTTTGACATCACAGATTCGGACAAGAATGGAGGACCCAAAATCTGCTGGTATAAAACTGAAAAGAAAACCTCTTTTTTTCTCTCTCTCTTCAGTTGCATTCATTCATTAAATGGGATATACTTTCTCCTCCCAGATCTGCAGCTGTACCACAGTGAGTCTCTGGAGCTGATGCTGCAGCGCTGGTCCAAGCTGGAGAAAGATTTCCGCATGAAGAACGGGCGCTATGATATCAGTAAAATCCCTGACATTTACGACTGCGTGAAGTATGATGTCATACACAACGCCTCACTGGGCCTTCAGGACACACAGGAGCTGTTCAGGCTGTCTCGAGCTTTGGCCGACATTGTTATTCCCCAGGTGAGAGGATAAAGAAAAACTAATTAGTACTCTATCTTATTGATTAAAATGATGATGGCCTAACTTATTAGCAGTTGTGCTGTTTTTTAAGAGTTGAACATTTGTGCAGATTAAACTTCAAATAGTTTTAGTTTTTTTACAGTGAGAAGTTGTCGTCAAGTTGATGTCGTCTTTGCTTTAAATAGATTTAATATGAATTCATCTTTAAATAATTTCCCCCGGAAAAAAGGAAATCTGACCAACACAAAAAAAAAAAAACACACAAATGGTTTTAAAACAATTTTTGGTTCAGATTTTTTTCTTTAAATAATTGCTTGACAATTTTCTTCTTTTTTTTTTTTATTGAAAAAGCTTCCTGCTTGGGAGGCAGAACATCTTCAAACTTGGAAACAAAGTCCAGTGGTTGTTTTTAAAAACTTTTTTGCAATAATTTGCTATCAATATATATCAGTGGTGTGCCGGTTGATTGGTCACCGATCATATTCAGCAGATTTTCATGATAAAAGTATATGATCAGCGATCATATACTTTTGTTACCAATCACAAAAGCTGATAACCTGTATCTCTTACTTGGCGGCCTGCAGACTCTGCCTGCAACGTTTCACTCTCTTTTCCTCACACTGCAAAAAATGCTGCAGCAAATCCTTCGCACTGGCATGTGGAACTTTTGTGCTTTGAGAATAATGCGAGGTTTGCCTCTAGCAATGAAATGACATTAACCACAGAAGTCGAGTTTGTGCCCAGCAACAACTGGATATGCTTAGTTCTGATAGGCTTGGCTAAGCTTCAACGCGGTAAGTTTTAGCCACTAAATCAGTAATAATGATAAGGTGACCAAAGCTGACTATGGAATTATCCCCAGTTTTACCATGTGATAAATCTGAAAAGAAAATGTTGCATGTAGGCAGTTATTACAGTAACTGTGTAGAAAGCATGTTTTTGGTACAGCAGGATCTGATGCTACCAACCTCACACAGTGCAGAAGAGCTGAGTGTGGTGAGCAGATTTAAAAAAAGAGGGCTGAAAAGAGCAGAGTTTGAGCTTTTTACCACCAACAGGAAGTTTTTCTGTGATGTAATGTGAATTGATTCATTTTGTTTTGACCAAGCTGATCCGTGCTGTGGTAAAGGTTTTGTTAGGCCTGGGACCACTGTTGTCAACGTTCATTGTGCCTGATGGGAAAAGAAATAGAGCGCCCATCTGTTTTGTTTTACTCAGCAAGAGAAGTTAAAAATAAACCAAACTTTTATGAAGGAAGAGAACAATTGAAGTTCATACTAAATATTAACAGAATGACAAAAAAAATGTACAGCATCCTCTACGGTGTCAGCAAGGGTTAATTTAAAGTGGGATACTTTAGAAATGAATTTTGACATTAAGTTTTTATTTTCAGTTCTATTTTGTACAGGCATCTATTGTGGGCACACTTGACTGTTTTTCTGAGACTTTTATATATTTTATATAGATATTTGATCAAATAAGTATTAATAAGTTGTGTCCATAATTTCTAGCTCTACTTAAATTCTTCTACATGTATCAAGAGTTTCTAGATTAGAAAGTTAGTCAAAGATTTCTTATTGGACTAATGAGTAATCCATTGTTGTTTTGTTCTCTAAGCTATACATATCTCTTGTGATAAAACCACTTATAAAGCTAGAATTCAAAATGAGAATGATAAGTGAACGGAATTAAATAAGGTAAATGGTTTGGTAATTGTCATATGATCCATCTATGCATCTTCTTACTTCTTACTTTCTCACAAGTTACAGTGATGCTTTACAGTTACAGTGTTGATTTGAGATCTATGAAATAACTTTTCAGGACAATGTACAACACTTTGCACATATTGATGCTCCATGTGGGATAGCCCTTTTTTTTACTCACCTACTGTATGTTACACGGGAAGATCGCATCTGTTACTGAATAAGTCTCTAAACCTGAGCTAACTGAGCTAAAAGTTATTTTGTGCAGTAAACCACATATTAAATGTAGCTGTTCAGACATATTTTTGTTTTTCTGATAATCTGGAGGGATGAATGTGGCCTTGACATCTCAATCTGCTAGATTTCCAAACGTGGATCGTTTGGAAATCGATGCCATTTGCTTTCAGGGCCACTGAATGGTTACAGGTCTAGCTCCTAGTGGCTAAAGATTAAACAGCACTGCTTTAATAAATGTACTTATATTAAATGCTGCACTTTTTTAATATAGTGGACATATAGTATAACTGTGTGAAAACAACTTTCTCTTTTAAAAAAATAGCTAATTTTCAATTTGTAGTTAAATTGTATGTTAAATAAACATCCTTTCTGCCTACAGTCATAAACACCTAAATCAAATGGTTTAAAGAATTAACACGTGTTACTGTGTTAACATTAAATATCCCTTTGGGATTAATAAAGTATTTTTGAATTTTACAGCAAAGTTGGGAAAAAAGGTCAGACTCCTTGTTTGTTTGAACCAACTTGGTCAGTAAAGCTCAATCTGCACAATTTTTGGATTTAAATAAGTAATTTATTTCAAAGCTTTTTTCACGACTTTTTTCCAATGTTGCCAAATGCTGATGCTGCTTATGTTGCTTATGCTTTTTTGATAATCATCTTAAAATATTTAACTTTTTACTCAGTGGGGAGCTTTAAAAATGTGTAGAACTACCCATCACCGTGTGAATACAAAGCTCTAAAACTTTTGATATATACAGCTAGCATATTAATTTGTGTTGAAGGTCTTTTCTCAAAAAGCACTTTTGTCTTTGCAGGAATACGGCATAACTAAGGCTGAGAAATTGGACATAGCCTATGCTTACTGCCTCCCATTGGTCAGAAAGATCCAGCTTGACCTTCAGAGGACACATGGAGACGAGTTTGTCAACAAACTACATCCTCTGTGAGTCTTATCTTCACAAAACAGATTCTTCAACTTAAACGTATAAATTAGGTCACTTTATCTTTAATTGGGCTTCATGCTTGCAGTTATTCTCGTGGAGTACTATCGCCCGGTCGTCACGTCAGGACTCGGTTATATTTCACCAGCGAGAGCCATGTTCACTCCCTGCTCAGCATTTTTCGATATGGAGGTCTCCTTGACGTAAGCAAACAGCAGTTTATTTCAGAGAGTTTGTTTGATGAGAAGGAAGGATCCGTTTGATGTTTTACACATTTGGGTCTGAAACAGGAGGAGAAGGACCAGCAGTGGAAACGTGCCATGGATTACCTCAGTGCCGTTTCTGAACTCAACTACATGACGCAGATTGTCATTATGCTTTATGAGGACAACAACAAGGTGTGTTCTTGTCGCTCTATCGACAAGTGATACTATAGTGTAGATTCTTTTAGGAGAGAGTGTTTATTTAATTATTTGCATCATTTCATGGGCATTACGCTGCCTTGCGTTATGCATAACGTAGGCTGTCGTTGGACATAAGTTCTGGCCTCGTTATAAATATGTTATGCTATATGCCCAAAATTAAAAAATACATAGAATTTTCGGTGTGTGCCAGCATTTTAGAAAATTCTGGGACATCGGGCATACCCTGGCTAAATCAGCAAGGTTTGCCAGGGCCCTTAGCTAGCTGCTTCAAAAAATAAATAATTAAAACATTTGAAACGGCTCTTATATGATTTTCTAGCTTAAATACAGAGTCCTTTTTGACCTTTCAGTTACTAACAGCCTGTTGTACCGGGCCAAGGAACCAACATTTACCTTTGGATTTTCAATAGAGCTTTCCACAATCATTTAGTCTTTTTCTCATTAAGCCATCGGTATCTTACACGTTGTCTTTCTGAAGGACATTTCCTCTGAGGAGCGGTTCCACGTGGAGCTCCACTTTAGCCCCGGTGTTAAAGGAGTCGAAGAAGAAGAGCATGCTCCGACCGGATTTGGCTTCAGACCCGCTTCAGCAGAGGTGCTGGAACCGGTAAAACTGTTTATTCAAAGTTGTTTTCAGTTTGAGTAAAAACAAGGCTCTCATTTAGTTGTGTTGGTCTTATTTTGCAGAACGGGAAGAAAAAGCCAGATCCTGGCAGTCTGGAGGACCTATCACGAGATGAAACAGACCGTGCGGTGCCCAGTTCTGAGCCCATCACCATTCAGAGGAAGTCCCCACTCATTCGCAATCACAAGACTGGATCAATGGAGGTGAGGATAGAGGGTTTTTTTCCAGGAAGATGTCAAATAATTAATATTAGAATTTAATTTGTTTTTTTATTGTATAAAGATAAAATCAATGTCTGTTTATTATGTGCAGTTGCAGCTTCCTTTTTGGTTTCTTGCTACTTCATCTTAAAATCATAACTCCAGGTATGGTCACAGTGTGTTCTGGCCACCAACTGAACTCTGCGTCTATGCTGTGTTTCCTTCAGGTCCTCTCAGAAACATCCTCTTCTAAAGTTGGCAGTTATCGTCTCTTCTCCTTTTGCCCACGTCAGTCACCTGAAATGAAACAGAGCGGCTTAGGTAGGTGGGAAATACTTGGTTGCCATGACAACATATAACAGATGAAGTGGAAGACACGGGTTCATTTTTTGTTTGGGATACATCCTATCTTTGGTGGAGATATGAATTTGTTAAATATAGCATTGGCTGTGTTTTAAATTGCATTTCCTAAACATAACCATTTTAACTTTGACTGCAAGATTATAAGACATAAACTCAAACTTTTGCAACTCAGTGATTTAGATTATCATCAAAAGGAAACATTTTAGCCAATCAGCTGAAAATTTAATTTCTGTGGATTCATAGCTAGAAGGCATAGCATAGCTGGAAGGAAATGCTAAATTCAGCTTGTTAGAAAATATTATGACTCACAGTCACCGAGCTGCAAACAACCATTTCTAATAAAGCTGGTTGTTCAGAGCGCTTTGTCAAAGCATACAAATGAGGGTTGGCGATATTTAGTTACTTCATAATATGATAGGAAATCAACTCGATATATGATGGGGTGCACTGTGCAGTGAATGTGACCTTAAGTGTTCACCTTGATCTTTTCTTGTGCTGCACTTCAAATGTTTTCCAGAGTCAGGTTTTTACCTTGAACATCAGGTCAGAAATATACATGAATGATGTTTTGACATTTGTTGGTCAAGGTATATTTGTCCATGTTTGCCTCTTGATGCACTGAAAAACAGATTTTTTTTTTTTCCATAGCACAAAATCAGGGATAAGTTATGGTTTAAAGTCATTGCTAATTTGAATTACCGTATTTTGGCAAGATTCATAAGGAGGCTGCTGCTGTAGTCAGATTTTTAAGTTTCACCACACATATAATCCAGGAGACGGGTACAACTGTTTAATGCTTGTGTTAAGCCACTCCTGAACCATAGACCATATCAGAAGTATCTTACCTTTGCTAAGGAGAAAAACAGCTGGACCGTAGCTTATTCGTCTAAAGTCTCCTATTCAGAGGAGAGCAGAATTTGCTTTTCATTTGGAAATCGGTTTTGCACAATCTGGCCCACTGTGCTGATGAAGCACCAAGTATTTTTAGGGAACTATATGCTTCCTTGTGTTGACAAGCTTTATGGAAATACCGATTTCAATTTCCATTTGTACTTTGTACCTCTTAAGCGAATTTTTGCATTGGTATTTTTTTTATCAATGCAAGAACTGTTTAGAACGTTGATTGATTTTTGAATATCATTGAGTACAGAGTTCCTTTTCATCATGTGGTGTAGTTGCAAAACATCTATTCTTCTTAATGCATTGCAGACATTAAGAATACCATAAGTCCTTTTTTAACGTGTGTGTGCGTATATATATATATATATATATATATATATATATATATATATATATATATATATATATATATATATATATATATATATCTCCTCAGAGAGGAAAACACGTATTTGAACACCTGTTTATCAGCTAGAATTCTGACCCTATAGGACCTGTTCAAAATGTCCACTCCATTTAGATGCACCTGTTTTAGGTCGTTAGCTGCATAAAGACACCTTTACAATCAGTAAAAATCCAACTACTAATATCGGCAAGACCAAAGAGCTGTCCAAAGACACTACAGACCAAATTGTAAAACCTACAAAAGGCTTAAAAAGGCTACTAGGAAATTGCAGCTTGGTGAAAAAAGGTTCACTGTTGGAGCAATCATTAGAAAATGGAAGAAGGTAAACATGACTGTTAATCTCCCTCAGACTGGGACTCCATGCAAGATCTCATTTCATGGGGTCTCAATAATCCCTCGAAAGGTAAGAAATCAGCCCAGCAGTACATGGGAGCAGCTGGTCAATGATCTGAAAGGAGCTGGGACCACCGTTTCCAAGGTTACTGTTTGTATTACACTAAGACCTCATGGTTTGAAATCATGCATGGCATGGAAGGTTCCCCTGCGCTTAACAAGTACATGTCAAGTCCCATCTTAAGTTTGCCAATGACCATTTGGATGATCCAGAGGACTCAGAAAGTCATGTGGTCAGATGAGACTTAAATAGAACTTTTTGGTCATAATTCCAGTAACTGTGTTTTGAGGAAGAAGAATGACGAGTATCATCCCAAGAACACCATCCCCACTGTGAAGCATGGGGGTGGTAGCATCATGCTTTGGGGATGTTTTTCTGCACATGGAACAGGGCGACTGCACTGTATTAATGAGATGATGACTAGAGCCGTATATTGGGAGATTTTAGGGAACAACCTTCTTCCCTTATAGCATTGAAGATGGGTCGAGGCTGGGTCTGCCAACATGACAATGACCTGAAGCACACAGCCAGGATAACAAAGCAGTGACTCTGGAAGAAGCATATCAAGGTTCTGGTGTGACCTAGCCAATATCCAGACCTAAAACCAATAGAGAATCTTTGAAGGGAGCTCAAACTCCATTTTTCTCAGCAACAGCCAAGAAATCAGACTAATCTAGAGAAGATATGTGTGGAGCAGTGGGCCAAAATCCCTCCTGCAGTGTGTGCAAACCTGGTGAAAAACTACAGGAAACCTTTGACCTCTGTGGCTGCAAACAAAGGCTACTGCACCAAATTGGTTTTTAAATACTTATTTGCAGCTGTATCATACAAATAAATAGTTTAAAAGAATCATACACTGTAATTTCTTCCTTTTTTTTTTAGATGATGTCTCTCACAGTGGACATGCACCTATGATGACAATTTCAGACCCGTCTATGATTTCTAACTGGAAGAACTTGCAAAATAGCAGGGTGTTCAAAT